ACCAACAAAATTCCTACTGAAATTGCTTCCTGAAATATACAGAATATTGCCCCATTCATCTGGTAGTGCACATGGAAGTCACAAGATTTCCTCCTTTTTTCCTTCTGTGTATCAGTGAATGTTTCTATTGCCCTGCCATCTCAGATTCTGTTTCCCTTTCACCCTCCTGAACTATGGCATCCTTTCCTCAGTTTCCCATGATTCCTGGAAGATAAACAATGATGAAGAACTTGCGGAGAGATGCTTTCTACCTCCACATAGAAATATTACACAGGGGTTAGTCACTGATGCTACCTTCCGAGAAGTATATCTGTAAGCATGACCATGAGAAAAATATCTACGAACATGAACACAGATTTATACAACAAACATGGCAGTTCCCACCATGTTTGCCACAGGGAAGACATGAAATATTTTTTTCTTCTGACAAGTAAATTGTTTAATAAAATTCGTTTAATGCATTCCAATGGGAAAAAATTATCATTGTTTTGCGAAAATCGCCCATAGAGAAACCATTTTGCGAAGCACAGATCAGCTGTAAAAATCGCTGTTTTGTGAAAAACAGTCCCGAAAACACCTGTTTTGCGAGTCGCGGACTCAGCTATCAAAATCGGCATCTTGCGAAAACCAGTCTCAAAAAACAAACAAAAAAAACACCGTCTTGCGAAGCACAGTCTGAAACATTGTCCAGCGACAATCGCCCATAGGAAACACCATTTTGCGAAGCGCTATAGCAATAGCAAAAACTCATCATCTAGCGAATTAACCATTTTGCGAGGTAATCGTCTAGCGGGGCACCACGGTACCATGATCAAATGAATTGGTCATCCAAGTAGCCAATCTTTTCATATAGTTTAATGTAACAGTTTGCTAGAAGATGTAGAAGAGTCTGGTTCTATTCTATGACCATGATGCCACAAGTAAAATGACGTAAGCAAGCACTCCAAACCTTGATGTATACTTAAAAGTAACCCCTCTAATTCTTTGGAAAGGGGTCTACACACACAGACATCTCACTGGGCAGAATGCTATTACTTACATATGCTAGTCTAAGCAAATGGCATAAATCATAGCAACAAATTGCCACTAGTCCAAGAAGTAGACACTTGCATTCCTCTTTGCATGCCAAGTTGTATGACAGGTACATGATGACAGGTACACAAGCACTAACTTTTTAAAGTAGTGGCAACTCGCTGCTGATTTACACATCTGTATGTAAATAAGGCTGGACTGGATGAATCCCAAACTGGAATTAAGATTGCCAGAAGAAATATCAACAACCTCAGATATGCAGATGATACCACTCTGACGGCAGAAAGTGAGGAACCTCTTAATGAGGGTGAAAGAGGAGAGTGCAAAAATGGTTTGAAGCTCAATATATATAAATTAAGATCATGGCCACTGGTCCCATCATCTCCTAGCAAATAGAAGGAGAAGATATGGAGGCAGTGACAGATTTTACTTTCCTGGGCTCCATGATCACTGCAGATGGTGACAGCAGCCACAAAATTTAAAGATGCCTGCTTCTCGGGAGGAAAGCAATGACAAACCTAGATAGCATCTTAAAAAGCAGAGACATCACCTTGCCGACAAAGGTCCGCATAATCAAAGCTATGGTTTTCCAAATCATGATGTAGGGAAGTGAGAGCTGGATCATAAAGAAAGCTGACCGCCAAAGAGTTGATGCTTTTGAATTGTGATGCTGGAGGAGACTCTTGAGAGTCCCCTGGACTGCAAGGAGAACAAACCTATCCATTATGAAGGAAATCAACCCTGAGTGCTCACTGGAAGGACAGATCCTGAAGCTAAGGCTCCAATATTTCCGACATCTCATGAGAAGACTCCCTGGAAAAGACACTGATGTTAGGAAAGAGTGAAGGCAAGAGGAGAAGGGGACGACAGAGGACGAGATGGCTGGACAGTGTCATCAAAGCGGCCAACATGAATTTGACCCAACTCCAGGAGGCAGTGGAAGACAGGAAGGCGTGGCATGCTCTGGTCGATAGGGTAAGGTCACAAAGAGTTGGACACGACTTAATGACTAAACAACAACAAAAATGTAAATAATAGGATTGTCATCCTTATGCGTTTCATAATCATATATACCTGGAAGAAATATTTTCAATTTTTAGTCAATTTGAAAGATTCTCCACCACTCTGAATTTTGCAATCCAATACATTTATAAGAAAAAAAAATCAATCTCAAGTGCCTTTTAAACTTTCTAGGCCCTGTTAGGGCCATTTCAATACACTTAGCTGCACTGTTTAGCATAGCCACTGTGTAGCTATTCCCAGCATCGAGAGGATCATCCATTTCGTACCTGCCTACCATACAGGTGTTGAAAATGAGGCATCTCAAGGAAGAAAACAAACAGAAACCCTAAATCAATGAAAGAAACAAACATCACACTTTAAAGTGTTTTGAACACTCACAGTTGTCTGGCTAGAAGGCTGAATCTATCGGTTTTTCACAGATCAGAACTATTTAAATCCCAAGTTCTTTCCATCATGCTCAGAATGTCAGGGGTGTGTGTGTGTGTGTGTGTGTGTGTGTGTGTGTGTTTGTGTGTGTGTGTATGCTAATTTTGGAAAGTTCTTTTCCAAAGAAATGTGAGTAAAGTTCACATCTATCCTTTCCTTCAGTTCTTAATTGCTATAGTCTAGCCTAGTCTCATATGAGGAAATGAGAGACCTCTGATCCAGAGCAGTTACATCTTTGTTTATTCCATTGTGATTGATTTCTACACAAACATGTTTGGGAGCAAAATGTCACCTTAACTATTCAGGGAATATTTACTACCACCAATGCAAATTCTACCTTCTTTGTAAATTTGAAAAATCTTGATCACATCTCATGTGCAAGCATACTGTGCACTTACCTGTCATGGGGCTTACTCTAGAGAAGGCACACACAGGGCTGCACTGCCGATGTTCTTTTTGTCCCAATGCCAGAACCAGAAGATAAAGACTGGTATCCTAAACATTTGTGTGAGAATAAATTCTACTGGATTGACCAGACACAAGGCGGAATTGTGCTGCAAGTTCAGATGGGAGCGCTTAATAATGTGGTATCGAGTTCATGACTTTGGAAACAAGTGCAATGAAATCTGTGCACCAAGCAATGTGCTCAAGATGCTAACACAGCGGCTTCAACGTAACTCTCACTGGGACACCAGTTGATCTCAGCTACAAGTAAATATTTGCAAAAATTACACTGATAGTGTACATAGATTTATGTACAGCCCACTACGCTTCTATTTGAAAGATAGAAATATTTACATTTGCACAATCAGTGATGAAACTCCATGTAACCACTAGAAAACTGCACTGAATTGCAATGCTGAACGTTTTATTTTTAACTTTTTAAAAATACCCTGCAGGGCATAAATGTATCAAGACTAGAGGCTGTGCACATCCACGTACCTAGAAAGGAAGACTGAAAGCATTTTAAGAGGGCTTTTTTATTATTATTATTATCATCATCATTATTATTTCCATGCTCTTAATTTGGGGGGGGGGAAATCACAAAAACATAACTTATAAAACAATATATATACTGCATCCTCCACAACAGCATTATTGAAACATCCAGCATAAGGGTTACCACAGGTGGGGAATACACTGGGAAAGAAGTACCGTGTGCATTTTATATTATGTTTCTTTGTCATCTACAGGTAATAAGTATGGAGACAGAAAGAAGCAACAAATATGCCTGCAAGAAAACTTCATATGCTTTTTGTATGCATATTAATATTTTTAAGATCATATTTATCATTTCCATAGTTTTTTTAAAATCTGCCAACAAAAACAACTCATTTTAAGTATTATCTACATTTACATCATAACACCTTTAAGACTTTTTTTGGGGGGGATTTCTTGGGTTTTGTTCAGAGCTGGGAATACAATTCGGGTTTTTTCCATTTTCCCATCGGCAAAGTCATTCTACTCCTTTGTTTAAGATGCAGTGTCATCAACATTTTAAGATAGTCCATTTCTATGTCCTTTTTTTTTTAATCCCTAGATTCTCTAAGGGAATTCCTTTCTTTTTAATTTCTTTTTTTTAAATTAAGAAACCTTTAAATATGGTTGGATGATAATTTGATTATCAGGATTAAGGCGTTGGAAAGTCTAGTTGGAGGAGGGGGGAGGAGGAGATGAGGTTCCTGTAAAGTTCCTTTTTTCATGGGCAACGATTAAAAGAATACAGTACTGCAGTTTGGGGAGGGAATAAATGAAAGAGAGACAGAGAGAGAAAGGTCGGAACCTTCTCAGCCGCTTAGTGCTCGGAATGGTTGGATCCTCATCGCTTTCAGCTAAAGAAACAAATCCTATCAAGAAAAATCAGGAACAGGCCGTATGGTCGTGGAAACAATACAAATCCCATCACGAGAGTCATGCATTGGGGAGGGGGGGGGAAACAACAACAGCGTCTTCAACCATGGAAAGGGAAACAGATAAATAGAACCTCCGTGGAGTGGTTGACCCATGTCGTGACGAGCTCGCCGGCAGAGTTTTATCCTCCATCATTTCTCCGCCCCCGCCGCAGCCAAGCCCGCCCCCAAGCCATACAAGGTCAACCAGCCCCTCGCTCTCGCAGTTCCTCGCCCTCCTCCTCCTTAAACCGTTACCGTATTCTTTCATATAAAGTGGACGCTTATTAGAAGAAAGTCCTGTGCAAGTTCAAGTAAACACGCATACAAAACCCGCATCATCCAGAGGAGGAAAAAAAAATTGCAACTCATCCATGTACTTCGGTTCGCTTTGTGCCTCTTCCCTCTCTCCCGGCCAGAGACTGCTGGTCCGTCCTTCCTGCCTTTCTCCCCATCCATCCATCCCCCCATCCCTTCCTCCCTCCATCCATCCATCCGCCCGCCCGCCCGCCTCGCCCTCGTGCCTCCTCTTTCCCCTCCACCACCAGAGCGTCGTCGTCGTCGCCCTCGCCCTCGCCGTCTTCCCGCCCCTGGGCGCAGCCGCGGTCCCGGTAAGGAGGCGGGCGCCCGTCAGCTGTTGTACTGGCAGGCGTTGAGCGTGGAGCCCGGGCTCTGGAGGCTCCCGTAGCCGAAGTTCGAGTGCTGCTTGGACTTGAGCCGCAGGCTGGCCAAGCTGGAGTTGCAGGTGTCCCGGTAGACGCTGTACGGGGAGCCCGGCGGGCCGTAGGGGCAGGCGGGCGAGGGCATGGCCGTGTTGAGCGAGGAGCCGCTCAGGTTGTTCAGGCCGGAGTTGGGCACCCCGGGCACGGCCGCGTGGCCCATGGAGGAGGGCATGCTCATGGAGGGCAGCGTGCTGGGCGCCGAGAACATGGACTGGGCCGACGAGAGCGGGCTCATGGAGTTGAAGAAGGTGAAGCTCTTGGAGGAGAGCGGCGCCGGCGCCAGGCTCTTGGCGTGCCAGTAGTTGGACGGGTAGCCCGCGTAGACGTCCTCGTAGGGCTGCATCAGGCCGCTGAACTGGGGCACGTAGCCGTTCTTGCACAGGTCCATCTGCTGGTTGCGCTCCCGCTTCCGCCACTTGGCGCGCCGGTTCTTGAACCACACCTGCAGGGGAAGGGGAAGGGGACCAAGGAAGAAGGAGCCAGGGGTTACGGGCAGGCCTCAGGGTGGGGGGCAGCAGCACCCACACGACTCCCACGTGCAGCCCCCCTCTCCGCCCCCCCCCACAACCGGGCGATGGCCAGTCACTCCACCCACCTGGGGCCGCGCTCCGGAAGGGTCGCTTCCCCCCTCTCGGACTCCGCGACCGCCACTCCAGCAGAATCCCGGAGATTTTGAGTGGCTGGCATTGAACAGGTGAAGCTGAAGGTCTTAAGAAAAATCCTTTGCCGCCCCAGCATCCATCCATCCATCCATCAGGACATCTTCATGTCCTGATTAATTTCTGCCCTCCTGCTCCCCTTAGCTCAACAGCCTTGCTAGGGAAATTAAAAAATTACCAGCTAAGCATTTGCAGAGAGTTATGCTCTATTCTAAACAGAGGTGCCAAGGTACAATGCTCAACTGCTGACTGGCTGTTTCTTTCTCCTCTGTTTCGGCAGATATTTGAAAGTGTGTTCTGACTATTCCACTCTCTGTTGTAACCACATTGTTCACACACTCTTCCAGGAAAGTTTATTTAAAACCCATATCCTTTTTCCATAGCAGATCTCATGCCCCCCTTTAAACTGAATTCCCCCAATCATCATCTGCTGACAATTTAAAATAAGCAGAATTAATTTTTGTAATTTACATAGAGTGCAAAAAATAGTGTCCTTGGTCAAGAATTTTGGAGTGTTGTTTGTTTTTAAGGGTCCACTCTAGAGAACTTAAGAAACTGTGACGAACTGCTATACAAGGAAGATAAAAGGAAAGCAAAAGAGAGAGAGCAAAACAACAGTCACTCAGTGGTTAGTCTCATGAAGTGGAAACCAACAAGAAGTGTGATATAGGATGAAAAATAATAAGGAACAAGGAGGCCTAACATGGACATAACTATTTAAATGTATTACAACTGCAGCTAAAGCATTGGTTTCTAGGCAGAATTGGACAAATGAACATATAGCTCATTCCTAGAGATATTTACTCAGAAATAGGTCCTACTGAAGTGCTTCTGAAAATAGATGTCCCTCTTTAAATCCTTGTCGCCATCATGCCATCATCGCCTTCATCATCTTTATGATTCAGTTTAAAATAATTGTTTGTATCTGCTTGTTTGCTCCCTGAAACCTAAAAAAAATTCAGACATGTCACTACCCCCCACAAGTTTTTAGAATTAGACTCCTAATTTTTATGCTTGGCCCTTGAGTCTGCCCCTTTCACCACCATGGTTGGGAAACAAGAAGTGTTGTGATGTGTCATGATAGTTATGGTGGTGGTGGTGGAAAACATTTGAAATACTGCAACAAATACATGAGTTTGTAAATTTAGAAAGCTGTTTGGAGGAAAAGATTTGTTTGGGGCATGGGGGGCAGCAGATTAAGTGCTGGTGAGGATTTTAAGGGCCCACTGGCACCATCCCCACCCAAAGACCTTACAGTGTAATATAAAGGTGATGGCTGCTGCCGCCTATGATAGGATGCTGCAATAGACTGCATACTATGAAAATGGATATAATTCTGCTGTTTCAGAGGGAGAGAAATTATTATAAGGAATTTCAGTAACACATAATTTCCTTGTAATCCCATTATGCAGTGGAGATGGAGTGGGGATACGCATGCCCTGCTGACTGAGAATAATAATTTCTATGCCCTACATTCTCCCTCTATGCTCCATGATCACAGCAGATGGAGACAGCAGCCACAAAATTAAAAGACACCTACTTCTTGGGAGTGCTCACTGGAAGGACAGATCCTGAAGCAGAGGCTCCAGTACTTTGGCCATCTCATAAGAAGAGAAGACTCCTTGGAAAAGATCTTGATGTTAGGAAAGTGATGGCAAGAGGAGAAGGGGACGACAGAGGATGAGATGGCTGGACAGTGTCTGCGAAGCAACCAACATGAATTTGACCCAACTCCGGGAGGCAGTGGAAGATAGGAGGGCCTGGCGTGCTCTGGTCCATGGGGTCACGAAGAGTCGGACACGACTAAATGACTGAACAACACGACGATGCCCTACATTCTAGGATGGGACTTATCACTGAAATTAATGGAGGGATTTTTACTCAGCCTTGCTATCAATGCAATTTTGTATCACAACAGGATAGCCAAGCTAAGATAGTTGTTTGTGTTTTTAAAAACTTAACCTGTCCTTCTTTGCTGGGGATACTGCTAATACTCATTCTGCTTGACTCCGCCAACCTTCCCACAAAGCTGTGGAGGTTTCCCATGCTGCAGACAACTTAAGCATGGGTACAGTCATCGGATATACCGAAGAAGGTATTCAACCTTTCTGTATGATTCCAGTCCTTTGCCATGGAAAACACAAGCAAGCCAACCAAGAATGTCCCTACAGTAAGAATTTATTGCTGGATCTCCTAGGCCCAGCTTCCAGGCATAGCTACAGTAGTTACTGTGGCTGCATGCTGATTAAAGATTTTGTAAATGCAATAACCCATTCAGATGACTGAACAGTGATTAATTAAATAAGTTGCATATTTCACAAACGTCATCCTAGATACTTTCTGGGCTGAGACGGTAATGGAAGGTATTGAGACTCCCCCCCTCTCGCATGTCCAGCCCAATCTACTACAATGTTTTGGATTAGGATACGGTCCATACCTCTATCCTTGCAGACAACCCTGGTGTGCCTAATTTTAGGTCTCTGTGCCATCACCCATCCTATGTATGCTCGATCGATTGTATCCAACTAAGGCTCTGTGTATGCCTTTTGGTAAGAAAAGGTCTGTTGCAGAATGGAGGGCCAATCTGCAACATAAGCGTTCTCTCTTTCCTTTGTACCCAGGAGAAAATTATCCTGGGACGAACACACCTCTTCTTGAATGAACTCAGTGATTGCCACCCTTTTCACAAGTGCTAGACCTATGGTTGCTTGGCATACAAAGATGTGGGTGGCTTATTTTTATTAATTGGTAGATGACTGGCTCTGTCCTCCTCTACCCCATGTTTGGGTCTTGATTACTTTCTGCCTCAAAATTCCTTGCTTCACCTGCTACTTCCATTACCTTTTTAAAAAAATTAACAGCTCCCAGAATTTCCCAAGCAGCAAATTAATTAGCTAGATTGGATGAGAGATGATGGGGGCTGCAATCCAAATAAGCAACTTTTCAGAGTGTTTTTTTTTTTTGGTCTGTCTCATTTTGATGACCTCCTAATTTCATTACCTCTCTCCCCTTTGGTAAAAGCTACCCCCGAGAAAGCCCATGAGTGAAATGTTCTTGTTATTAAATCTTGGTGTTGTTGGTGGCTCAGCTAAAGCACTTTCACAATCTATGAGGGCAGGATAGTTATTAAAGCCATGGTTGGACAAGTCAAATTGCAGCAAACCCACAACCAACCAACATCCCCCTCCTCCCCAACACCTCTGTTGTCTTATTTTTTTTTGTGCCTTGGTAGAAAGGCAGCATATGCCTTTCTGTTTAATATCCAGCATTTACAACTTTGTTGCTGGAGAGGAAGAAGGGGTCTGGCTGCCCCTGGGGGTGTAATACAAAACAAAACAAAAAGGGAAGAGGGGGATTTGATGCTCTCCCCCCCCCCGAAAGTGCATCTTGCAGAAAATGCTTTGAGCTCCCCTGCATAAAAATCCAGAGCTCAGAGAACAGGAAAAGCCACCCGACTCATAACCTGAAGCGCGACACAGCCGGATTTGCTTTAGCATCCTGTTAGAGGCTCTGTACGTAATGGGAAGTAACTGCTTCATCTCTCCAGTTTCTGCTCTAAGTTAAAAGTCTTCCTTCTCTCCAGTGGAAAATATCAGCCTCCCAAAGGGCCTGGGGGTTAGTGGTGGCAGCTTGTGATTTCACTGGCTAAGGCAAATCATGGAAACCAACAGAAGGGATAAGAAAACTCTCTGTTCAGCTGAATTGCGGGGGTGGGGGCCAACCTTATGTTTTCCCTTAAAGCAGATCCTCCCCAAAGTGGGCATCACAGGCGGTCCTGGATATGTCTACCCAGAAGCCAGTTCCACTGAGTTCAGTGTATTCTCACTGTGTATAGGATTGCTGGGTCCAACTGGGTGATTCTTATGGTATAAAATCCATTTATCACTAGCCGTGTAGGGTGGAGGCTCCATGGTGTCCTACTGCTTTGAGGGCAGATGACGTCAACAGCAATAGCCTAATATTAGGGTCTAATAATTAGAACAGAAAGGTAAACCTAATGGAGGAGGGGAAAAACAATGGCAGGAAAGGGGAAATGTCCCAAATAAATATAAAAAGATGAAAAGGAAGACCGTATGGCTCAAACCCAGTATAGTAATTCAGTTCTCAGAAGGTGCTTCCAGACAGGAATTTCCTGAAAAGGAGGCTAATAGTTTTAATGATGGCTTCTAGACATTTTAAAGGAAGGTTTACTTAGCAAATTAAGGTTGGCTTGGCTGAGCCAACAGTTTTGGGGCTGTTCTGAAAAATATCTATGGAAGGCAGGAAGGATCAAGTTGGATCAAGGGGGGGAAGAGAGGAAGGGTCAGTGTAATGGCTTCAGCAATTTAGCTTGACTTCCCACTGCTTACAAGTGATCTCCAATACAGTCACCTGGAAGTAATCCTTAGTTTTTGCCATCATGCTGCTCTGCCATGTCAAAGGTTAAAGTAAGGAACTCTGACTGTAGGCAGTGTTTTGTTCCTTAACCAATCCTATATGTTAATACTCAAGTTCCACTGATTTTAATGGCATATGCAAATAAATGTATAGGATCATAACCTTTGGTTTTTGGGGTATTTTTATATATTTTTTCTTTTTCTCTCTCTCTCGCCCCCCCCCCCCGTTTTCACGCAGTTATACAGGCAAAAATGGGCTTTCCCAAAATGACCTATGTAATTTAAGAATAAAATAAAAGCCTAATCACTATCCAATTCAAATTCATATCCATTAATTCCATTAATTCTAATTAATGGAAGTGACTAAGATCCTATGAGTAAGGTTTCAGTAAAAGCTTCTCAGAACA